GAAAATTATGTTTTCCTCATATAAAAGCATCTCAGGACTCTAAAATGCTCAAGAAAATGGATGGAATTTCCAAGACCAGACATTATTAACTTAAAACACTTCCACCCCTTATAAACAATTGATTCAAAGAGAGTTTTTTTATTGCTAGGTTTATTAAATCAGTGTAAAACTCAATTATTCATCTCAAGGACTGGAAATGATCAAACAACAAACAAACAGCATGACAAGAAGGTTAGTACAGATGGAAACCAGGTGGGCGCAACAGAAGTTTTCCGTTATGTTAAAACAGAAATAAAAAATGCATTCTGAGTTTGTCACACTATAGACAGATGTGCTCTTGCTCAACCAGCCAAAAACTAAATGACAAAATAATTCAAAATAATAAAATCAGGTTTTAGTATAATAAAACAATTATCTATCTCCTCTCGCAGATCCTCATGAAAACATCGCTGACTGAGAGATCTAAGCCTGGTCTTAATAAACTGCATGTGAAATCAGAACAATGCATTGGACTCATTGGAGAGATTAAATAACTGGGTCATCCACTAGCTGCAAATCTTTGCAAAAGTATTCATACTTCTTCAACATTTTCACATTTTTTGACTTTATATCCATATAAGACTATATTTGAAAAGTGACTGACCCAATTTATCCCTAAACAAAGTCCAGTTGACCTGTTTAATTCAGATGTTATCTAGCAAGTCCGTCTGTGTGTAATTTACTCTCAGAATAAAAAATCATGTTATTTGAAAATTAGGGAACAAATAGCATTATGAAGACCTATGTCCCAAGCTTTGTGCAGTCCATCATCTGAAAATAGAAAAAGTGTGACACTGTATTTATTTTTCATTAAAATCTAGGCAGAAAATCTAGAAGTCATAATACAATAAATTATGACTTCAAGGGTATTTTGGAAGATACTCAGAAGAGTGTTATCTAAGATTGTTTATTAGAAACATAATGAATAAAAAAAGAAGCAAAATTTCAAAGCAAACATTAAAAGAAATAAATTCAGAAAGCAAGAAGAACTGTTGATCAAAACCACGTTGGACGATAAGAAGATATTCTTTGTTTTTGGGAGCAGAATCGCAAAAACTGCTCACTTTTTGTGTAGTACTCTAGTTTATGGCAGCTGGTTCCAGATAGATCTGCAACACAACACTTTGTTTTCTTCAACTCATAATCTTATGATCTTGTTGGTACGGAAATATTCCACTTCCTGTGTTTAATTTTGCTTTGATTTGAATAGAAAGAGATCCATCTTGCTTTTCTCATTAAGTGCGAGAGGATTACACAGACCCCACAGTTTCATTCATCTTGTTTCCAGTCACAACTGCGAGTCAAACATGAATGCATTTCAGCGGTAACTGCTAAAAAGATTGCTCTATGTATGATTTGGAACTCAAACTTGTATCCATTTGTTCTTGTTTACTGTGGTTTTAAACTGGGTTCATGGATTATGTTTGCTGTAGATTTGTGACACCATAAAACTGTGTTCTTGTCTCACTCTGCCACGGAGTGATTATTTGCTGACATTAAATATGACGTCAAGGCTCTTGTCATCTTCTTTGTGTTGAAGTCTTGTAAACAACGTCGCCCTTCCAAGCCAAGTGTTCTCGAAAGTGTGTTTTTCATCAGCAGTTTACATTACATGCATGGTGGATTGTGGTTCTCTTACTGCTTCCCTTCGGTGGACAAAATGAAAAGAAACGCTGATCTCAGGATGTTTTCCTGGTTCTTTGGGTTTGACGTGGAAGAAAAGAGGCAACAGTGTAAAGACAAGTCTGGCCTCAGTCTAATTCAAAAAAACTAAAACCTTGGCCTTGTCTGTGTTAAAAAAAGAGCGTTTGAATTGAGGTTGACTGAGCGTAGAAACCACTTTCTGTTATACTTTGAAGCGTCTATAATGACCCCGAAGAGAGCATGCATCACTTCCAAATGTAAAGAAACACTGCAATCTTTTATGGGTTCTTTTTGCTCCGTGTGTCAATCAGGTCAATGTCGTTGCCCAAGCAGATGTTTTAAATGCTCGTTTACCGTTCTGTGACTCAGATGTGCTGTCGCAGTCGGACCACAACAAAGTTCCATCACAGGATGATTCTCACAAGCTGCTGTAGTGGCTGTGGACGTCACGGCGGTATTCACTGGCACCCTTCTGGCTTTCAGCTACATCTTTGATGGATTCATCCAAACAAGATCCACTGTATTTTTTTGTTGTTGTTGTTTTTATTATGTGCAGTAAATCTGTCACAAAAGGTCAGCCGGTTCTTCATGTTAACCGTTCACAGATTTGGAATACAATGCGCTTTCGCAAATTATCTCTGAATCAGAGCCATACAGTCACCAACATCAGTCACATTGTCTCCGGTTCACTTTGCATTTAAAATCTGGTGGGTTGGTTACGCACCCCAAACCACGAGTGATTCACAAAATTCTAAAAAGTCATCAAAAAATATGACAAGTCAAAGAAATGTTGGGGAAGAGTAAAGCACTTCTGGCTTATTCTCATGGAAATCAACTTCCTCTTTATGTCGAACTTGATCAGCGAGTTCTCCAGACCCTCTGAAGATCTTTTAATATCGACTGTCAACGTTATCAGAAACCATGTGTTCAGCAAGTCCTGCAAAGACCTGAAGCAGGACCTGAAGTATGCAAAGCCTGGTACAAACTGGCTCCTAAACAACAAAAAACCCAATTAAAGCCTCGTTCTTTGCAAAGTTCTTTACTTGTTTATAAAACATTTGTCAATCACTTTACGCTATGTGTCCTGATAGACTAAAGTGACCTAAAAAGAAGCAAACAGAACTACCGGCAATAACCAAAATTAGTAAAACCATTATCCAGAAAGTTATTTAGCCTTCAATTCCTGTGATTTTTTTAAATCTCGCTTTTTGGAAGAAAAATATAAAGGAATGAGAATTGACTTAGGTCTGTCACAGGACTGCATGTTTGCCGTAGCTTCTTTTGTTTCAGGAAATATTATCTTCTTGTAAACGAGGGGCTGAATTAACTGACCAGATGCTTAATGCTTAAGCAGATCATAGGAACGCATAGAACTCTTTGCGGGTGAGAACAGAGGTTTGTAGTTGATTGAATGTCTAATTCAAGCTTGATGTAGTAATAAAACTCATGGGGATCATCCCCACCTGTTAGCCACTAAAACAGCTGGTTGCTACGGAAACTAAATGCAGCTTGGCAGACAGTCCTTACTGCTGACCAAGGAGTTTCACAAATTTCTTTGGTTATCCTTTGTGGTTATCCAGCCACAGTCACCCCACGGGGCGACTGTGGCTGTGTGGGTAGTAGTCATCTTGCGATCAGAAGGTTGTAGGTTCAATTCCTAGCATGCTTCGATGTGCCTTTGGGTAAGACACTTTACCCCAAAAATTGCCTACCGATCTGCGTATTGGTGTATAAATTGCGAATGGGTGAATGTGAATGTGACTCCAGTGTAAAGCGCTTTGAGTGGTCAAAAATGATTGCTGTCCAAAAGAAATACAACTTTGTTTCACTTTACATTGTTTTAAATGAAATAAGAAAAGATTTGAGATGCCACTTTCCATTTAGTTCAGAAAAGATACTATATTTCTAGTGATTTGTATTATTGTTTAATTTTATACTTTCCCAAATTTTCCTTTTTTAGTTCCATTCATTAATTATTTCTTTTTGTCATAAACTATTTCTTAGCTTCTGATTTATAAAAAAAATGCAAAACAAGTAAATATTTTGTCAAGTTTGGGTTCTTCAAACAGGAATTGTCCAGTAAATACCTCTCAGTTGGTCAGATCCTCCTGTTATTGCAACCATTTTCATTGTATTTTCTGTGTGGTTTTCTTTTTTGGATTTCTTCTGGACTTGAGGTTTTTACCTTTCCTTTACTTTTGGTAAAAGTTTTATTTTCATCCATTCCTGTCTCCTACATGAATTTAGATCCTGCTCATCAATTCTCTTCCTGAAAGTGCTTGAAGTCCCCGATTGAGATCTGCCTCACACTTTAAAAAAGCCTTACAGGACTGCATTTTACAATGAGTTAAAACTTAAGCAAACAGCGTCTAATCTCCAGCTAACAATTTCCTCATTTTTAGGTAAAGTAAGAAAATATTGGGTTTATACAGTACTTCTTCATGCTGTTCAGAAAATTGTTGTTCCTGTAAATTCATAGAAAATTACATTTCTATGTGTAATTCAATATTTCTGTTGTGGAACATAGATTGTGTTAAATCCAATTAATTACATTTAATAACAGTCCTGTGCTTTTTCTTTTGTACTGCCGTTTCTTCTTTAAATAAACCTTAAACCAACTGCATCAGTCAATTTGACATGATTTTCTTAAGTGGGATTGATTACTTATGCAGAAACCAAGCTGTGGTTTATAAGAAAGAGTATACTTTAGGTTTGGTTTTTGGGTTTCCTATAAACCTTGGAGGCTTCGCTGTGTTTGCACTTTGTGACTGATGAATAAGTTGAGAGTAGCACGAACAGCTAGAGGCTAAAATGAAGGCCACTTTGCTGTCTAAGAACAATTCAAATTTTAAAACACATCCGTCTGGTTGTCATTTCTTCTTGTTGTGAAATGTTGCTCCATTTATAGAGAGAGGTGAATCAGAGGAATCAAAGTGGATTTGTTCACATTTGGTTCCTCAAGACCATAGAATTTGCTTCTCTCATCATTATGTACATGTTGGATTTGCACATTTATTTTGGTTTGTTCCACATTATCCTCGTTTACTATAACAATTGCTGACTCATCACCTTACACTCTAAATTCTCAAATGGAAGAATTTAACTGAAACTAAAAGTGTTTTTAGTCCTTCTAGTGTGGTAGACTCGATTTAATTGGTGACCAAAAGTGCAACATTTGTTACATTTTTCAACTAGTGCAGTTTGCTTCTCGCTGCACTGTGTAAAACGATCGAACCTTTTGAAAAGCCTGTTCCACCCCTTGCCTGTGGTGGCGCTGCACCAATAACTAATGAAGGAAATGACAGGAAAACCTCAGAAGAAGACACTTCCGTCTTCACAAAATACAAATGGAGTGGCGTCGCAGGTTACTTTGCGGGAACTAAGAGTCATTTCCTTGAATTTAGAAGGTATTTTCTAACAAATTATACTACTAATATTTAAAGGTTACTTTAAGAGAACTTACAGTATTGTTTTCTCTCTTAGAACTTATAGGCACTTTTCTGAAACTTTCAATGTACTTTCTACAGAAGTAACAGCTTACTTTACTGGAGCTTAAGGTTATTTTATTAAAACTTGTTGTTTCAGGTTGCTTACCTCAAACTTGTAGCATGCTATTCTGGGACCCACTTGTAACTTTTTTTTGTAACTTATTCAATTATTTCCTTGAACTTACAGGTTGCTCTTCTGGGACATGCAGGTTACTTTCAAACAACCTACAAGGTACTTTCCTTGAAGTTTTTCATCATAACGTAGAGCTTACCTTTGTGAGGTTTATGGTGAGGTAACTTTTAACCTGGCATTTTCCCTACATGTTCTAAGTTGCTTTGAGGACAGAGTGAGCTTTTAAGGTTGTTCTTAAAGGGAAATAACCTGTAAATTGCAGGAAAGTATTTTCTAAGTTCTGGATGTGTTGCACCCAAAACACACAGACAAACACAAAAACCCCAAAGTGTTTTTAGAAAAGCACTGTCATTTGGCAGAGTTGGGCAGTCACTCGTTACATTTAGTCAGCTACATTATTTGAGTAACCCTTTGGAAAAAAATACTTTTAGGAGTATTTTTACTATGCTGTACTGTTTGCTTTTACTTGAGTAAAATCTGTAACTTTGTAACTTCACTGAATGAAGAGCAAACATGTTTTAACCCAAAAATCAGCAGACACAGAGACCTGCAGTTTTTGTTAAAGTTTAATAAGTCAAAAAAGATTTGTCTGATTTTATTCCTTAATTATGGTATTTATATGAATTATTTTTATTTTGGTTCTTAAAATAAAAGACATAAAAGTCATATAGCCACATGTCTTTTACGTTTTGGTCCATTTGGTCATGTAATTTTTAAATATTATCTAATTTATGTTTGAATGTTACTTGAGTAGACTTTTTACCAAATGCTTTTTTACTCTTACTTGAGTAATTTCTTGACCGACTACTTTTTTTACTTTTACTTAAGTAAAAAGATGTTGAAGTAGTGTTATTCTTACTTAAGTACAAATTTTGGGTTCTCTATCTTAGTTTCACTGGTTCGGTCCATCTCTGTCGGTTGGGCACATTTTTCGAAGTTGAGCAGATAAGACGGATCCACCACCAGTTAAATTAGTGTGTTAATTTAACTGGAAATCTTAATTTAACTGAAAAATTTAATTTTAAGCGTTCATTGTTTATAGAAAAATTGTAAGACGCCTTTTGATGAGCATAAAAAATTGTGTAATCCGTCTCTCTCCTTCTGCATCTGTTTAAATGTTCCCTATTTTTAATCTTTTACAGAGGATAAAGCTGAACGATGTTACAATAAACATTCCAGAGGGAGTCACCCACCCATAATTAGAGACTCAGGAGGCTGAGTAAGATAGATGACTGCAGTGTGTGTCAGTGGAGGTGGAGGGGGTCGTGCCGTTCCAGAGGCTGCTGGTTAAATGCAGGTGGCTGGGTGTACGCGTCAGCTTTTATCTCAGCTTTGAACACAGGTAAGCTCAGGGGCCTGCACAGGTGTGTGTGTGTGTGTGCGTACGGGCTGAAAGTTCAGAGATGGTGGTGGCGGTTATGGTAGAAAAAGGACCAGAGGCAGCGATTTGTCAAGGTGAGCAGAGTTTGCTGGGGTCACCGAGAGACACAGTGGTGGCTATTGTGTTGGTTATGAAACCACAAATGATCTGCATCATATAGACACTGATGTGGCCGTTCGGAGGGTGAACAGACTTCAAACAGCAAGCAGATGCTCTGGTTGAGTAATCGCTTTGACTCACTATGTTTCCCCATAGGAGAAGACACAAGAACTTTTGAGTCATTGTGTCTGCCAAGGTGTTATGCTTTTAATTAATGTAATGAGACAAGTGATTATTTTGGCAAAGGAGAAAATTATCCTGGAATCACACAGGGACTTAGGATTCATTTCAAAGACAGAGAGGAAATCACAACCCTTTCTCTCTCCACATATCTGCCAAAAGGAGAGAAACTCAAATGTTTTTTTTCTTTATGAGTGAAAAATCACAGCCCCCTTTTTTCATTACGGTAGTGTTAAAAACAGCATCTGTCACCAGCTGAAAATTGAGATTTTCACATGAAGCTTAGAGGACAAACAGTTTTGCCACCAGCATTTGCTGCCCCATTGTATTTTAAACAGTCTGACTTTGCTCAGATGTGGTATTTTACCACAAGTTTCTAACGGTAGTTGCTGAAATTTTGGCCCATTCCTCCTGACAGAACCAGTGTAACTGAGTCAGGTTTATAGGCTGCCTTGCTCACACACACATGCACAATTTTTTTATGAGAATGAGATTAGGGCTTTGTGGTAGGCATTTATAAACGTGACTTTGTTGTTCCTGGGCCTATTTGTAACTAAGTAGATGGTATGCTTCAAGTCATTGTCCATTTGTAAAACCCAATTGGATAAAACTGAACTTTCTATGTATTATCTTGAGACGTTGCTTCTCTGTTTCCATGTACTTCACTCATGATGCCATCTATTCCACATCATGATGCTGCCACCCTCTACTCCACTTTGTATTCTCAAGTTATATTCCCATGCCATTAAAATTTGTAAATAGTTGGAGCAAATTATCAAGACACCTTCAGGCATCATAAAACTCATTGGAGCCCTTCCTTTCCCTGACATAACTACTGGATCACATATTTGGGTAAAAAAACAGAAGACTTACTGTGTTATAAAATCATGAATGCAAAATTTTGTTGTGGCTAACAAAAAGCATGTTCTTTCATTTCAAATCCGCTGATTATAAGCATGAAGATGCTTGAGTAGAAGATTTTACGAACACTAAAAGGATTCAAATCAGATCCAAATCACATGTTCTATCATGATTAAAGCAGCTAAAAATCTGTTATGGCCTTTAGTTGTCTGTGCTTTTGATAAAAATATTGTTTTATCTTTGTTATCTTAATGCTTTTTGTTGTCATGGCTATCTATTTGTTTATAATAACATCATTGAGTCTTTTGGCTGTGTATTCAGAATATATTTGTCACTGGTCAAACCTTTTAGACCCAAAACCCATCCAAACATGATGTAATATTACAGATCACAGATAATTAAAACATAATGAATATCCACAGATAAAAAGAAACACATCAAACTCACCACTGCTCTTTATATGCTGCCAAGATGAGTTCTTTCTGGCAGCCATAAAGCCGTCACCAGAGCATCAAAAAGTGTGGTTATTGTTAACCTCAGTGGAGTTTTTGAGAATAAGAGAGATAACCTCTGAAGACTGACTGTAAATGTAAAATTAGTGCAAAACAGTGTCACTGTTTGTGCATTTCTGGAGGTCGCCTGATAGTCATTTTTATTGTGTGAGGCCTGCAGTGTAACCAGCCTGCTAATATAAATATCTGTCTTGAAAGTGATAAACATCAGACCAGCCCAAGTTGTCAGTGGTCAAGAAGAGCAGCAGGAACACAGACTGCTTAATATTCACTAAACCAGGGACAGGAAAAATAGCAAGCCAACTTTAAAACTAACAAACGGCTTAGAGAATGATCATGCATCCATTGGCACATTAAAAAATATATTGCATGACAGTAAACATCATTACAAGCAACATAAAAATGTGACATTATTACAGGAGTGTTCAAAAAAAGACATAGTGGCTTTCTGTTTAAATTTCAGAGTTGTGAGGCTTAAATAAATATGAGAGATTTGTCTCAAGCTTTTTTCATGGTCAGTGTGACATTTATTCAGTACAGTTCATCTACAAGTAGATCTGTGTAGGGAGGGTATAAAATATGGATTAACTGGATCAAAAACTAATACTTTGTAGAAATTCTTTCTGATTCAATTTCACAATTTAGAAAATAGGGAAAATGTGAGACCACAATGACAAAAAAACGACATGGTTTTCCAAAACTGATGAAGGAAATACAAGACTGAAACAAGTCTGACAAGAGGCCAATAGTAACACTGAAACATCTGATGCAATATCCAACAAGTACTCGTCGTGCTCGTTATGTGACAACAATCTCCTGTTTTCTTTATAGGTTTTTTGCTGAAGTGGATTAAAACCGTTCCAAATACAACATGTTTGGACTGTTAGAAAGCAAAAGATAAAGAGGGATTTTAGCTTTCAAAGCCACATGGAGTCCAAATCAATAAAAGAATGGCTTTCAGTGAAATAAATCAAAGTTTTGGAATGGCCTTTCCAAAGTCGAAACCTAAATCCAATGTACAAGGAGGAGCTGAAAGAAGACTATTGACAAGAGATGTTCACAGTCTGATAGACTTGAAAAATTTTGGAACGGCAAAAGAGCTAAATATTTCCAAGTCAAGATGTCGGATGCTGATAGACAAATCCAGAAATTGAATTTAAAGCTGGTTTAACAAAGTTATCAGTTTAACTTTGTGCATAGTTATATAACCGGACTGCTTTTGATTTTTGTAATGTTGCCTTTATCATAATCTTTTTGTTTTTCTCCATAAAAATGTTATACTTAACAGAGATTTGTAAACTTTTTCCATCCATTGTCGTGTGAAATGGATGGACAAACCTCAAGTATGTTTAGGTTCTGGTCCAACTGTGTCATAAGCCACGCCCCCTTTTAATGCTCATTGATTGGTCAGTCTGTGTGGGAGTTGTTTTGATTCATTCAGTTTTAAATGCAAACTGTCTGATGGGACATAAACAGAGAATTGTAAAAATTATTCATAATGAAGTCTTAAAACCACGTGCTTTTTGCTGTCCATCTTATCATATGTACTTTTTTTCAGTTTGCCAATGAATTGTTAGTTTTTTTGTGCTCTACAATGCTACAAACATATCTAGAAAGAGACAATAATTCTACCTTTAAGATAATAAAGAGAGAATAAGGACACATTATGGGACACATTCTTGACTTCTGAATTTGTGAAGTCTAAGCTTCTGGGTTAACCTATTAGCCACACATGCAGAGCCTCTCATTAGAAGAACAAGTATCTGAATACCCAGATACTTTCTGAATCATCCTGGCTGTAAATTCCCAACATAACCTTCAGCCTTAACCTTGCATATCACAGCAGGGAGGACTCACTAATAGAATTAAATTGCACACACCCTGCAAAGAAATACGTGCATGTGAAAGAAATGTTGCATCTTATTTATTCACCTTAAGTAAAGCTGCCAAACTGTCAGAGTCGGAATGCTATGTGTTGAAGTGCCAAGGTTTATCTGGAGAGAGAAAAAAGAAAAGAAGAAAATTACGTTAACTTCGGCGGACCACAAGGAATGTGGCCAAGCAGCATGTACAGACAAGCACAAAGAGTGAACACACGCACACACACACACACACACACACACACACACACACACACACACACAGGGAAAAAAAGAAAACGAGTCAAAGTAGACAAAGGAAGCCTATCATCCTGCAAAGCATTTTCAAATGGACACACAGTAGTTTACATTCATTCTGGCCCACAGTCTCCTCTTTGTGACGACAGACCCATTTACACACGCTAAATCCCTCCCGTAAGTAGAGAATACAGCAGCAGAAGAAGAACTCAGCTCCATATTTAAGTCCAAGAATAAATTAAATAATAATAAACAGCACGATTACAATAGGCCTTCGCAGCGCTTAGCTGCTCGGGCCTAAAAATCAGACCGGTCAAAGAAACACATTTGCGATTATTTTCTTTGTTGCTTTTTGTCTAAAAATTGTCCATTTTATTGTCGGCTCTGGAATACACTAATTTGCTTATTCACCTACATCTTTTCTGTGTGAGGCAACCAGATTTTCAGATAATATCTTCTGAGGTTTTAAAAACTTTGGGTTAAAACACCTAAGCAAGGTGAGTAAAACCCAGGCCCACAGCATTATAGATCCTCTTACATTCCTGACAGTTAACATTAGGTTTACATGCTGCCGGCCCATAGATCTAATCAGCCCTTATAGTATTGTTTGCTCTAGTGTCATAACAGCATGTCTTGGAGATTTTTTTTAACCCCACTTGTCCTCCTCACTGTGCGTCATGGCAAATTAAACTTGAGTGCTTGTGCAGCCTTGCTAGTCAGTTACTGTCACAGGCAGGTAGAATAAATTTGGAAATAAAGTTGCAAAGTATTCAACAATAAAATGTAAGAAAATGGCAGGTGGCAGGATAGCAAAACTGTAAAATGTGCATTGCAACAGTAGGATCTGACAAGGACAGAATGATTACCTGCAGCTTAAATTCAAAGAAAGGTGATTGATTGCCTGGACAATTACAGTGATGTATCACAGCTGTTAAGGAAGCAGAGTGGGGGTATCAATCCAAAATATTGATAATATTGATTGATGTTAGCGTGGTTATGTTGATACTTTAGTTTCAGATTCCATCTTGAAATTTTAGTTCATTTTTGTATTGCAGTTTCTCAACTCTATCTCAGTTTTGATTTGCTCTCAAATAACTATTATTTGCATTTAGTTTATTTAGGAGAAATGCACATGAACCATGTTAACATGTTATCTAATTTTGTACTCAACTCTAACTTTGTCAAATTGTGTCTGAGGTTTGAACAGAATAATTCAAAGGAAAAAGCAAAAAACACCTAAAGGTCAGAAGTTTAAATAAAACTGTACTTATCAAAAACAAAATATGTTTTTTCTGTACCTTCACAAGAAACTCAGTTACTGAAGAAGATGAGTCCATTTCCCTTAAATGGAGAGTAAACAAACCTTTTACCAGCAACTGTCAGAGCATTCTGATTAATATTTCATCAACCACTGTCAATGTAAATTTGCAAAAATGAGATAAAACTGGGACTGTCCACACAGCCCAGGGTTTATTCTGGCAAATCATTGACTTGTTTTATTATTTGTGGCACTGTTTTTAACTGCGAACCCAAAAATCTCTGTTATGTTTCTATCAGCTGCTTGGCAGCAGTGGGTGTCCAGCTGCGCCCGTCGGTGCATCTGAAAAGGCCATCTGGACAATGGCCTGACTGATGCACACCGGACATGTGCAAAGCAAGCCCACCCGATGGCGCACACTGAATGACGTGGTTAAAACCACCAGGGAACACAAGGTGGAAAAAAACAAACAGAGAAACGCAGGGATTGTTGGAACAATGAACACAACAAACAGAACACAGACAAAACTAAACCTAATGTTACAGAACTTTGTAACATTAGTAACATTATCTGGCTGTATCTAACTCCAGGAACCCATGATGCAGCATGTTTAGTGAATTTGATCTGTGATTTTTTCCTAGATGTAAAGTTTATTAGTTTTTTTGTGGTTGGTTTAAGAATTTATATTTTCTTTAACAAAACACTTGTTTTGTATTTAAAGCTTGACTACCAACTAACTCATCTCTGCTCTCCTTCACAGAAATGCTGTCTTTTTATACATTACAACCTTATTCATACATTCATCATTCATGCACACCATACTCTGCTGATTTAATGGACTTTCACACTTCCTAATTTCACACTTCCTTCTTAATTTGGACTAAATGAACTAATTGTATAGCGCTTGCACACATCGTGCGTCTTGCTTTTTGTTGTGACCTTTGAGTCAGGTCATAACATTTTTCGTAGAGGAAATGTGACACCATAATTACAGCTGCACCTTCATCTTTCAGAGATTGAGGGAATGAACTAAAGAGATGGATTCGATTTCATCTGCTGGCATATTTAGCTACTGTTTCAACTCCTCTAATACAGCCGAAGAACTTACAAATAAAATTGTTTTAAACTTGAGCTGTTGACTTCTATGTTTTTAAATTGCTGAGAGCACATATAGAAACTAAGATAACTGGAACCACTCACTTGAATCCAATCAGAATATGATCTGCCATTTTTGAAATCTAAAATACCTCCTGATCAGCTCTCAGCTGTTGTTGATCCTTTTTTGAAGACTTTTGGATATAGTCGTGCTAGTTGTGTGTGGATGCAGTAGATTTGGACAGCTTAAATAAAGTCGTGCATACATTGCATACTAATTTTCTTTTTTCATTGCCGATGGAATAAATAATGCATACCCAGAGTGACAACTAACTGTTATGCAGCAGCAGTGACATTTTAGAAATGTTGGACAACTTGGGAATCATCTTTGCAAACTGCCAAGTAAATACTGCCTCAGTTTAAGAAACATCGTCTCTTCAAGACAGTCTTTCAGATCAGTAAAAGGAAAGCTTTCAGCAGCCAGCATACCTCAAGGCCATGCACTTACATTTCTCAAAAGGGCACACGTCAGGCTGGATTACTTTCCCATTGCGCCTCATTTCAACCAGCTTGGTTTTGGCAAAATAAATGTTGAGGCCTTTTATTTATTTATTTATTTATTTATTTATTTTTTTCACTCTCCAGGATTGGTGAGATCATCACTGGGAGTCTATTTTTGGGATATGTGGCTGCTTTTGGCTTGGAAAAGCTCATTCACAGCGCTGGGCGGTGCTTGTTTGAAACACCAGAGGGCGCTGTTTCCTCCACAGATCAGATTCAGTGCATGGGAAAGAAAAGAAAACAAAAAGCAGACATGCTTGAAAGAAAAGACACATAGGGGTTATTATTATTTATTATTTATAATTATATTTTATGTTACTAGTTAAAAAGGTGCAACTGAAACTGAGACCGCTTTTGAATCATAGTCTTTAAGTATAAGATCAACATTTCACTGAACAGGAGTAGACAATATGTTTTATGATTAGTGGATTCTTTGATTAGTAGCAGGAACAAACAAGTCATTATCTCCCAAAGAAATGCCAGTATGTTTCCTGTTTTGTCCTCATCTGGTATTTTTCCTTCTAATCTGTTTTGCTGGTGCTGCAGTGAAAGAATCATGTGCAAATTCTTCACATACATTCCCCTATTTCATTTCTGTGTCTTTTAAAAAGCGTTGCTTAGGTGCTTTAGCCGACTGTCTGAGCAGCGACTGTATATCTGACACAGCAGGGGTTTCCACATATAATGGACCTTGATTAGTTTGAGTCCTCACCAAGACTCAAAGCTTGTGAGAGAAATGTATTTATTATTATTATTATTATTATTATTATTCTCCACTACAATGACCTGGATTTGCTGCTTTGATTTGAAGGTGTGACACTTTTTTGGATACACCTTTTCGATTGGTGGTTAACCCAAACAGCCAAAATCAGCCAACTTAGTGCATTTAGATGTCTAGTCTTCTTGCAAATATTCCGTCTGAAACTGGAAGAAATGGGATTTGCCTAGACTGATCTGAAGATTTCAGATAGTGTTGATCTACTGAATTTTCACACAAAAACATTTGTGAGCTTTACAGAAAACGGTCTGAAAAAGAGAAAGTATCCAGCTGAGTGAACGAAAAATGCATTGCTGACATCAGAGACCGGAGGAGAATGGAAAAACTGGTGGAAGACGATAAAAATGTAATGGTAGCTCAACTTATGATGCTTTACGGCCAAGATATGTTAAATGCTGTATCTGAGAGTAACAACAAATGAAGCGTAAGGTAAGCCATCGCAGCAAACCTTAGGTTATTTTAGGTATACCTCAGTATCCCTTAGTAGTACCTCTAAAACCACAGCATACCCGTCCACCCTTTAGGACACCCAACTTCTTCAAGTTATACCACAGAGCTCAGATCGACTCAAATTGGTCTCCTTTTTTTTTTTTTTACTTATAAATTCTTTCTTTTGCAACTTGTGTGATGGTAAAGTGGACATAGACGCAGGTGGGTCACATGTAAGATATACATTTTTTTACTTTGTGACAAGGAATTTTACAGTCCATCTGCATTGATTTACATTTAACAATATCAAGGATCATAAGAGATAGTGTAAAAAAACAACAACATATTTGCATTCATGAGCAAATGGGCATTTTTGGTCTCTTAAGTCTCTTGTTCAAACCTTAAGCCCATCTTTGCCTTTA